TCATGCTCAACAACCCTGTTGTCTCGCGCGATCATATAACCTTCACAGAGCCATGTCCAAGAAAGCGTCCCATGACTGATAGCGAATCATGTGTACCTAGGGATATTAGCAGGTACCGTGGTTCGTGGGATCATCGGAAGGCCACGAGTCGCGAAGCATCAGGAACAAACTCTGCAGCCCTTGGTTGGGATTAGTTTTCTGCTGCGTGGTGGTGGTTCACTTGATGAGAGGCAACACTTCCCGAGGACTTGCCGTTCGGCCCCCTGGTACCTCTAAAACAGGACTCGAGCTCTGCGCCCGCAGTGTCCATAGAAAATAGCAATTTTTGGGTATAGCGCAGACGAGCGTGCCTGGGACATCAGACGAACCGTTATCCCCATGGAGAAAGTGATCACGGGAGCCAAGTGCGACCCCACCCAAGCCGGGGGAGGGTGACCGGGGTCCCCACACTCTCGGAGAAACATCCTAAATGGAGAATGATGCCCACAGCTAGACAACCACAACTGTTTGGCTGCCCACAACAATTTACCGACGAACGACATTTGCTATAAGATGCGGGGCTCCTTCCCCACTGTCTCCTCACCCCGCTATCCAGCTTCTCTCCTTTTACTCGAGTTGGATTGAACGATGGCAGGCCCAGCAGCAGTCACCGTGGCCGACGGCCCAGGAGCGCATCTCCTCTACCAAGGTAGCTTTGCCCGAGGACGCGTAGGAGCATCGACTGACGTTGGATACAGGGAAATGGTGGAACCACGCCGGAATCCTCGCCCTCAACCTGATGCTCGTCCCCATCCTGTTGACGTCCAGCACCAACGGTTTCGATGGCTCCATGATGAGTAAGTTCCTTGCTCCAAGTATAGAAACGGCATCTCACACTCGCGTTCAGACGGTCTCCAAGCCGTTCCTCACTGGGTTTCTTTCTTTGGAGAGCCCAAGGGAGCCACCCTTGGTTTGTACAAGTGAGTTGGGTAATTAGGCCGTTTCAAGCCAATCAAATTAATCTTCATTTCAGTGCCATCCAAAACATCGGCTCCCTCGCTGCCATTCCCTTTGCG